AACACTTGTACAATTATTCCAATAATTACTAGTTGTAGATGAACTAACTCCAAGGGTAAAACTTTAATTTTACATATTTTATATGAAAAGTTAAAACTACAATATAAGAAAATAACCAAAATAATTTTTAAAAATTTCAATGAATTCTATTACAGTTGCATACAATTTTAACCATGAATGAACATATTACTATTCTTTTTTCCTTAGTTACTAATACAACTGAGAGACAAATAGCCCAGTAGCACCATTCAAAATTTTTCAATCTTTCATAATTTTCAAAAATGTAGTTCAATTTTTAAAAGTAACATGTAAATATTAACCACCACATGAACACTCTCACACAAGGTCTTTAGTTACTTACCAAGACAATTGTAATGTTTGTTAATGTGACTGTTCTAAGGTTAGGGGCCATCCTATGGCTGTGTCTATGCCACATAATATATTTTATTTGTACTTAAATTTAAGATAGCATATAGAAGTTAACAAGTTCTGTACTGAGAAATATAACATATAACCATCATGAATATCACACTTGAAATGTAGTAAGATTATCATTCAGAGAAAAGAAAAATATAAATTGTTATAATTCCTATTAAATATATATAAAGTCAGTTAAAGTTTTCCAACACACATAATTTCAGCTTCTAAACAGTATATGTCTATAATCCCAGCTATCTGGGAGACTAAGGCAAGAGTATCAGTTTTGAGGCCAGCCTGCTCAACTTGGTGAGAACTTGTCTCAAAATTTAAAAATTTATGTATGGGGTCAATCTCCAGTAGTATTTAAAAAAAAAAAAAAAAGCAATTTTATTTACTTTGAGGCTCTCTTTTCAAAAAGTTATTTGTGCTGTTCTTTTTTCTTATTCATAATCTGACAGTAACATGTTAGCAACTTTCATAGAGGAGATATTTGGAATTACCATTTACACACATATATATTCTATTACAAAAATTATGTCATTCATTATATTATAAGATGTTGGATATAAATAGTAAGCATTCTTTTCCAAGTTTTATGAACTTAGTTGCAGGTAATCATAACCATAAACTTTTCAAGATTTGCTGAAATTTACAAGCCATACAAAAGTGAAAATTTTTAGGCTTAAAGTATTTGTTAATGTGAATCAATAAATTGAATTAATCAAAATACTGCTTTGCAAAGTAAAAAAGGAATAATAAAGGCACACAAGATTATCACTAATCCTTTTTCTAAGATCTATTTCAACAAATTTAAGACTACTTCTTAACTACCCTGACGATAGTTTAAAGAAAACATTAGCTATGTGTATGGGGAGGTACTTTAAAAGAGAGTGTGGTGGCACATGCCTGTAATCCTGGCTACTCGAGAAGCTGAGGCAGGAGGACTGCAAAGTTTATCCTAGGCATTTTACCAAGATGATGCCTCAAAGTAAAATTTTAACAAGACTTGGGAATGTAGTTCCATGGTAGAATACTTGCCCGGTATGCAGGACTAGGGGTCAATCTCCAACACGACAAACAAAATAATAATAATAGTAATAATAAACAGTAATGACAATAAAATAAAGATTAGTATGTCAATCTTATTTGTAAAGAGAAAGAAAGCCATCACTAAAACAGGATATTCTTAATCCCTTAATACAATCTCTCCTTCCTACTAAATTTACAAAAATACAGCTATCAATTTTAACGAAAAAATGTATTTATAAATTGTAACCCCTAAAACTCAACTTTAAAAACAAACCACTAACTCAATGTACTCCTTACATTGCCACCAAATTAATCTATTCTGAACGGTCTATGCACCGAAATTAAATTAATACTTTGTCATAATTCCACTCTATGTGGGTTGCAGATGTAAAAGCAACTAAACAAAGTAATACAACTTCAGCCCTTAATAGCTAACACATTTGTGTCAGAATATTACATTAAATGTCAATAGATTGGCAAATCTATTTAGTCAAGGCACTAAAACATTAACAACTATGTTTCTTCAACATTTTCCAAGGAGAACACCACCAATTTTCTTTATAAATATTTAGAAAAACACATTTCTGCAGAAAACCAAGTCAAAACAAGTATTTCATATCCTTGAAATCATAAACTTTCAAAACTTAACTTATAAAACTGGTCTATCTTAAGACAAGTGTGGTGGCACATGCCTGTAATCCTTACATTCAGGAGACTGAGGCAGGAGGATCATCATGAGTTTGCAGGCAGCCTACACTACCTAGTGAGTTCAAGGCAAGCCTGAACTACATAAGTGAGACCCTGTCTCAAAAAAAAAATACTTGAATAGAAGAAAAACTTCTTTAATAAAAAAAAATTGATAAATTCCACATTTTTATAGATTTTTAATACCAAGCAATGTCTTATAGTAGTGATTTTGGTATTTATCATTGCTTTTACTTTCCACAATTCTGTTAAAAAACAAAAATTACTGAATATACTACTTTTCTGCCTAAAAAAAAGTCTCAGAATATCAATTTCTTTGCTTCTACAAACATTTACAGTGGTACCTTGGTTCACAAACAATTCTTTCCACGATTCTTTCTGGTCACAAACCAAATTGTACAAGAACCAAATCAAATTCAATGGTTAGGTTCAATGTTAACCTTTTGGGGAAATTTGATTCAGTTCTCATTCAATCTGGTCTGCGACCAAAATCATAGAAAGAATTACATTTGTGAACCAAGGTACGACTGTATAATTTTTAGAATTAAGCATTTTAAAAATTAATTGGTAATGATTAATGATCTCTGAATATCAATAATTTAGTATTCACAAGTACCAGGAAATGAAGATGAAACTGCAATAAGATCTGGAAATTTATTTTAGACTTACTATCTAACATAAACATATTTCCTTATAATCTGTTTCTCCCAAAGGCAATCATTTACTTCTTCAAAATAAATTTGGTTGTTATTCAAAAAACTACAGATATACAGTACTATTACTCCTAAATGAAGTTTTATAAACAGAGGGAAAAGAACACATAGTATATCTAATAGTTGCTTCATTTGTCCTCAAATTCAATCCTTTTGTATGATTTTCAAACTGTGCTAACTTACATAATAAACCACTGGGAAAAACATAAGTTCAAATACCAAAATGTATTATTCTAGAAGAAAAATACATAAAAATATTGGATGAAGATGTGTCTGTATATATATATATATATACATATATATACACACATACACGAACCATGAGTTAGTATGCTCTAGTTCCTATTTAGTTAAGATGAACAAATATATACAAACATCATGTATGCTAAACAAGATAAAGCAAGGTAATATTAGAATGTAAATAGCACTAAATAGTACACATAAATAGGTATCACATTCTTATCTTACTAAAGTCAATGTAATAGACTTTGTGGAAAGTAATGTATCTAGTTTTCTGCCTCACAACTTCAAAAGTAATATAAAAATTTTGAAGAACCTTTAAAGTTGAAAAGAATAGCAAAAGATTTTTTAAAAACACATGAAGAACGATTACAGGATTCTGAATAGGCATTTTTTGTGAGACAAGGTCTCCCTATGTAGTTCACAGTGGCCTTGAGCGATGTAGTTCAGGCTGATCTCGAAATCACAGCAAAATATTTCTTTAGTCTTTGATTTGTTCTTTTTATTAGGAAAAAATTCCAGCTAATTACAAAGTGATTTTTTAAAAATTAACCAGCATGATCCTTTATATATTTTACCAGCTATTTCATGACCCTTAAACTTTCTCCTAAAATGCCCCCATTCTGGCCAGGTGTGGTGGTACATTCCTGTAATCCCAGCACATGGGAGGCTGAGGCAGAAGGATCACTACGAGTTCAAGGCCAGCCTGGGCCACACAGTGAGTTCAAGGCCAGCCTGAACTACATAGACCCTCTCTCAAAAAAAAAACTCAAAAAACAAAGTCCACAAAAATCAATTCAAGTGAAAAAACATAATCTAATAAAACTATACAGTGAAAAAAATATAGATGCCATAGAAAAAAATCAGAAACACTATATAGAAGAAATTTTCTTATGGTCAATGATAAGCAACTGTCCAAAATATTTTTAATATTAGAATTATATGGCAGCCACTGGGCATGGTGACACACACCTGTAATCCCAGCACCCAGGAGGCTAAGGCAGGAGGACTGCCATGAGTTCAAGGTCAGCCTTGGCCTATACAGTGAGTTCAAAGCCAACCTTACATAGCAAGACCCTGTCTCAAAAGAAAATAAAAACACCTTCAGTAAGTTGAACAAAGTGAAACATTATGAGAATCACCTGAGGAATTTTTTTTCTAACTATGTAGTGACTTGCCTCTTTATCCCTTCTAGATTTGGCAAATGTCTAGAGATAAGTAGAATTAAGAAGGGTGAGGAATATATATTATGTTATAAACATTCATATATACATGTATATTATGAAGAAAATTTCCCAGGTGATTCATACAGCTACTGTCTAGCATTTGCTGGGGAATTCAATTTACAAGTAAATGATATGCTATTATGGCCTAGAAACAATTTTCTCACACAAATAAGCTGAAACATGATTTCACCTGTATGCGTGGGAAAATCAACTAAGATACCCTGTAATAAGCTACTATGTCTTCCATTTTAGTGATGGAAAAATATCAAAATTTCATGAAAAGTTATATTTAGGTATGAATTATAATAAATTGTTCAATATTATCTATAAAATTAGCTTAAAATCCAATTATACAAAAAAAAAAAAACCTTAGTTCCTATCCGCTCTACTACTCAAGGGTTTTCATAATAACCGAAAGTTTTACCACAAAAGATTATAAAAGCATTTAAAATACAATTTTATATAATTTTATTTGTACTTTAAAATTTAAACAACTTGCTGGGAACATCCTTAGTTAGGCAATGTAGTCGTTTTTATTTGAAACTAAACTTTGAGACAGGCTCACTATATTTTTCAAGAGCAAGCAACAAATGTTAGCTGAAAATAGCCAACTTAATGATTATTTGTAACACAGACTTGATTATGTGAGCCTACAGAGCCTCCCCACCTCTGGCTTCCCTGTGGAGGAGGGAGTCTTTGTGTGCTTTTCTGTGTTGGTTCCACTGAATTCATTACAACAGAGATGGACATTTGATATTCATAACGATCCAACATCTGAGCAATCTTCTTTCGAGACACACCATGTTTATTCCTCCTACCAAAAAAGAAAAGGATTTTAAATCTTTTTTTCTTTTGGAATGTATAGATTTAGAGATTAAATTATTTTAGAGTAGCAGAATACAGATTCAACATAATATTGTGCAAATAAACATTACATGAAATTTCATTTACATCTTACACAGAGATACTCAGATTTGCTGCCTAACTGCAAAATGTTAATTGATTATACCTTCTTCACAAGATCTACTCACTGAGCCTAATGAGCACATTCCCTTTTAATTAAAAAAATCAAATATTATTGGGCTGGGGATTTAGCTCAGTGGTTCCTCCACCTGCCTCACAAGCGCAAGATCCAAGTTCGATCCCCAGTACCAAAAAAAGAAAGAAAAACAAACAAACACTATTAAACAAAAAAAATGATGAGATAATGTTTTTTGAAAATTGCAGAATGATTGAATAGACACTTAGGACCTGCAAAAAACAAGGTAAAATATCACATTTTAGAAGTTATTTTAGGACAGTTTATATTAAATTCAAACAATTTATTATTTTCAATATTAAATTATTATTGGACACACAATTTGGACATCTCTCACAATCTTGAAGACACAATATACAATGTATGACTATATATATAAAAATTTGAAAAAAGCAAAATAAAATTATGATAGTAAGGCAGAAGCTGTTATGGTAAAACTTAAAGAAAAGTAAAAAAGAGACTACAATTACCAAGTCAAAACAGTAATTAGCTTTACAGGATGAAAAAAAAATTGGGAAGAGGAACATGAAGAGCTTCTGAGTTACTGATAATGTTCTCACAAACAGTGTGTAATTGTGATATAAGAACTTTATTAAGCTGTGCACATATATTTTATGGACTTCTCTGTATATAAGTATATACATATACTTTTATGTATATGAGTTATGACAACAAATAGTTATTTAAAAATTATCTTTGATCTTGAATTGGACAATTTATTATACCCTAATAATTTTCTGTAATTTGACTTGACATGCAAAACACAAAAAGATATTTTATACTTAAACTACAGTTTTCAATTTACTAATGCCAATTCATTTTTCCCAAAAAGGGACCACAAAAAAAACCAATAACTTGGGGCTGGGGATTTAGCTCAGTGGTTTCGCCGCCTGCTGTGCAAGCGCAAGGACCCGAGTTCGATCCCCAGTACCAAAAAAAAAAAACAAAAAACTTTTCAAATGATGTTTCACTCACGATAAATTATAAAGTCCCTCAAAATAAATGAAGCCACAACTGTACATAATTTAATCATTCATTTATCCAGCATAATGCTAATAACTTTAGTTTTTAAATTTTTGTCTTTTCCACCTCAAGTGTGATGCACACAGTAAGGCTGGCAAATAATATCAGATGTTAATATTTATATGTATACCGATATATAAACATATATAAATCAAAAAGAGAAAACAGCCAAAGGAATGAGAGACAAGGGGGAAAGAAATTAGTTGGAGCCCATATACAGAATATTTGCCTAAAGACTGGGGTATTGCTCAGTGGTACAGCATGTGCTTAGCATGTATAAGGTCCTGGGTTCAATCCTTAGCACCAACCCAGGGGAACACAGCTTGAAGCTGGAAGAGGTCAAGCTAAGATGAAGTAAAAAATGGTTTAAAAAACAAGTAGTAATGGCTGCACAACTCTGTGAATATTCTAAAAATCACTGAATTGTATACTTTAAATGAGTGAACTGTACAGTATATTGCAAATTACACCACAATAAAGCTATTACGGGGGGGGGAGGTGAAAAGTGAAGAAGAAAAGATAGGACAGCAATGAATGAGGGAAGAAGGATAAAAGTAAACACACAGACACAGTCTGGACTGAAAAAGTACTAGAAGTCCACAATCTCTCACCAAAACTTGTGAAATCTATTAAACTGTAAAAACTGTTTTCTGTTAATTCAGGTGGCAAGAAACCTAATCATATTTGTACTCATTTGACAGCACAATTTACTCAAAATTAACATTATATTGTGTAGAATCTTTCTTATTTACTTAGACTGAATAGTCACTATGGCTACGGAAATATTAAGATATTTAACTATGATACCCTGCCCCAAGCGCTGGCAGGGAGGATACAACTACATAAATACACTATGTTACTCCTTCCTAAAATCCAAAGAATCTGAACTCCAAAAAATACTGATTCTAAGGATCTTGGTATCGGATTATGGATCTGTAGTAGTAAAAATAGAAAAACAGGAGCAAGATGAAAGCATAAGTAAAAGAGTGATGTGTCTAAAACAGGAAGGAGATGAAGGTGGATGGAAAATGCAACAAAGTAGCTTAGCTAAAAACAGCCAGAGGAAAAAGTTCTAATTTTACCCTTAAAAGTTTCTACCTACACTCAATAACTGTGAAATGTCAAACACATTAAAAATAAGAAACATATTTAACAAGGAAAATTTAATAAAATTTAATAAAGACGCCTAAAAAACTTCTAAGTCAATGTTCCTTTTAATAGAAAGTAAGAAACCATAGTCTCTATACACAAGCAACAAAGATGACAAGCAAAAGCTAGGAAAGAAATTAATCATGTAAAGGTAAAACCAAAGGGTAAGGAAGAAGTAGTCAATAAAAAAATCGAGTGCCTTACTTTTCTAATTCTTCAGGATCAAATTTCCACCAAGTTTCAGGTTCATGAAACTCTACTCTGTATCCTTTTCCTATTGCCTATACAAAGGAAAGGCAGAAAACAAAAACCCAGAGAATCGTTCTTAAAGTAAAAAGAAGGCAGACAGATAAAATTTCATTTAGACAATATTTCTAAATGTCCTCAACCAAGAGAAACCCTACTTTAAAAATAATATAATTTATGAAAATTTTAAGGCTGCATAACTAGATAAATACCAATTATTATCCTCAAGTCCAGGAAGAAATAACAAAATGAGTATATTTATTCCTTAATATGCACCATTCCCAATTCTTAAAAAAACCAAAAAATTTCTTTAGAACAAAGACAAATGTTTTCATAGAGATCAAATTAAGAACAAAAACTTCAGAACATGAAAAAGTTGACAAGAATAAAAAATAGATTAATATTTACCATTTCCACATACGGTTTCATTTCCCAAGCTTGTGTATTAGTGTTGTCTATTATAACTGGAGACCTCCCCTGATCAATAGCTTGTTTTGCTGAAATTAAAAAAAAAATTAAAAAGATAAAAAATATAACTATTAAAGTACACAAAATAAAATTCAAATATTCATTAAGAATTATTCAACATCTCTGTCTTTAAATCCAAAACTTTACAATCTCTTGAGTCAATGTCATAAAAAACAAAGACTGCAGTAGAATAAAAGGGAATTAAGAAACATAAGCAATTCCACATGTATTCTCTAGCCTGGATGCTGGTTTTGACAAACTAGCTGCAAAAGACATTTTGGGGACATTTTATTTATTAATTTACAGCTAACGAAGCCTTCAAGCAAAAGCTAAATTTCATTTATAGGAAATAGAGAAAAGAATGGAACAAGTTACAATAGACTCAGGTTATGAAAAAAGGTAAAAATTACTGACACAGAAAGACTGTTAAATGAAAACAAGTTGTGAGGCAACAGTCAAATATTATCTTAATTAGTTCAAAATATGGAAGGAGAAGGAAGATTTACTAACATATTGTGTTTATCTATAAATGGGAACATTTGTGCTTTTGAAATAAGAAAAAATTTATATATTTAAAAAGTTACAGATTTATCATTTTTTACCAAAAAATCTTCATATACCAGATAGTTAAATACCACAGTTCAAATGATTGCAGATTTCTTAGGACTTCCAGCTCAAAGAGGAGCTGGAAGGAGAATGGAACTTTACTAAAATTTCCCTATTCCAATGCCATTTCTTCTACCATAACGTGAGAATCACTGTCACAGCAAGCCACTGTGAATGACAAGAGTAGGTATACACCTCAGGTATATCACATAAGAAAAATAATTATAAACTTCTGATAAAATGTAAAAGGCCAAGGCAAAATGCAATGATAGTAATATTTTCTTGGGACTTAGAATTCACTTTGGCAGTGATAGGAATTGAACTCAGGACCTCTTCTTTGCTAGGCAAGCATTCTCCCACTGAATTATGGCTACAGCCCTGGAACTTAGAATTCAAACTATTAGATTCAACACAATGAAAACATCCATACAGATGTCTGAGGGAGACAAAATTCTACATGTTCAGTAATGACAATGGTGGAATACATATTTGGGAGATGATGTTTCTAAATATAAAAAATTCAGAGGGCCAGGGATTTAGCTCAGTGGTTCTACCGCCTGCCTCACAAGTGCAAGGTCCTGAGTTCAATCCCCGGTACCAAAAAAATTTCAGAAATCAGTTTACAAATAGGTGTTATCAATTAATGCTGGCTTGCTGCTAGCAACAAGATGCTATCATCTCTCCCTATTCTATCTCCAATCACTTAAAAGTTTTAGTAAATAGTTTTCTTAATGTCTGATAGTTAGACTTACACATTCAAGGAACTGTTCCTGAGGAGTAGCTTATTAACCAAATGAATCTGATTTATGTGTGGGGAGATTATCCCCTTTCCACAAATAATCATTTTCTAATACCACAGTTCAATGTAGCTCTACAAGACTAGAGCTCCTAAGGAAACCATTTGAATACCAAACAAGAGTGGTTTTCTTAAACAAATTAATACCATACTAGAATGACACCTTGGAGACATTTTCAAGCTATAAATGTTTTAAAAATAATTAAGATTATTTCAGTAATAAACATGAAGAAAACAGATTTTCTCAGAATGGTGACTGAAATTTAAAGCTATTCAGTAAGTGTTGAAAAGAGCAATTTACATCCTGGATAATATGCTTATAACTACCAAAATGTCTAATGAGTACAGTGTGGTACATGCTTGTAATCACAGGTACTCAAGAGGCTGTGGCAAAAGGACAGCAAATGCAGGGCTAGCTTAGACAACTCAGCAAAAACCCTTAGTCAAAAAATAAAAAAGAGGGCGGGGATTTAGCTCAGTGGTGCTGCACCTGTCTCACAAGCCCAAGATCCTGAGTTTGATCACCAGTATCACAAAAAAAAGTAGCAAAAAATAAAAAAGGCTGGAGATGTAGCTCAGTGGTGGAATTCCACTGGCTTCAATTCCCAGTACCACCAACACACACACAAACCCTCTAATGATTGCTAGATATGATTACCTTGAAAAGGTTTACTTTTGTTATACTGAAAAGAAAACCAATACTGCAGTTTATCCAGAAATCTCCATTACATTTAGCAAGTATAAATAATGCATACAGCATAGATATTTTAATGAAATATTCTTTATTCATTCCATTTATCACTGAATCTTTCCTTTTTTAACTTTAGGCCAATAACTCCAAACACTTTTGAAATTGTAACATCATCATTATTTGAGCTGTTCAACAATGTTCTATGGCATTAAAATACAAAAAGAATTTTTTTGAGATTTTTATGCCACCCTCAAATATATTTGGAGAAATCCTAGACTGTCACATAATCAACATAGATTAAATATCTCCTATGTGAAATGCTTGAGACCAGAAATGTTCAGATTTCAGAGATTTCAGATTTTGGAATACTGGCACAGACTTTATAGGTTGGACATCCCTTAACTGAAAAAATCTGAAATGCAGTGCCAGTGATTTAGCTCAGTGGTTCCGCCACCTGCCTCGCAAGCGCAAGGTCCCAAGTTCGATCCCCGGTACCAAAAAAAAAATAGTTTCATCTACCAGAGTATTCTGCATTTCAGATTTTTACAAAAAACAAAAAAGTTTCATCTATTAGAGCATTATGCATTTCAGATTTTTACCAAAAAAATAAAATAGTTTCATCTACTAGAGCATTTTGCATTTCAGATTTTTACCAAACAACAAAAAAAAATAGTTTCATATATGAGAGCATTTTGCATTTCAGATTTTTTTCTTTGGAACCGGGGACTGAATTCGGGACCTTGCGCTTGCGAGGCAGGCGGCGGAACCACTGAGCTAAATCGCCCGCCCTGCTGAAACTTTTTGAATGCCAATGGAACACTCATACAGTTTCACATTTCGGAGCATTTGAGATTTCAGAATTTTAGATAAAAGATGATCAAACTTACTTGTTAGACTTACCATACATTAAGCATTCCTGTGAAACCATAAACTGTAACACAGTGAAAACTTTTATTTAAAAATATCCTTACTGAAAATTCTTACTCTAAAAATTGACAATCAAAAAGAAAAGCAATCACAGTTTTTCCTGTATACATTATTATACTTTATAGCTACCTAGTTGATAGCTTTAGTTGAAAGGAAGTTCTTCATTCCGGAAGAACTGTAGCTACTAAATACGGAAGGAATGACAGTTCTAGAAAAATCACCATTTTAAGAAATCACCTGATTTAGGAAACAATTTATCGATGGATAAACCCATCAGATTAAAGTCGATAGGGAGGTTGGAAGAACAGGATAGGATGTCCCTTGGAAGCTACTTATCAACTTTATCATCACTAAGAGTGGCACAACTAAATATTTGCTTGTCCTATCCCTTCTTGCCCCTCAAAAGAGTTGAACCTAATCCAGCTTCCAGTATACAATTAATTTCCATTTACAGAAAATATAGGAAAAAGAGAAGCAAGTTAAAGAGCTACCAAAACAACTTTAGGATATAGAACAAACAACCTAGAACAGTGCAACAATAGTGTCAAGATTTAAAAAGGGAAAACTGCTATAGATTAATATAATTGAAAGAAACATAAAAGCAAATCTATTTTGAGGACTTTGGATTCTAATTCAAACTGAACTGTAAAAAGAAATTAAAGCAAGATGGGATATCCGATTACATACTGGGTTATATAATGCTAAGAAATTGTTACGTGCGATAACAGCACTGCATTTAAATAAGATGTGGTTAAGATGGTTAATAACAAATGCATAAAGTAAAATGACTAGAATTTGCTTTTAAATCCTTCAGCAAATTAAAAAGCGAGGGCAATAAAAATAAAAATGATACATTGGCTACATTTTAAGATTTTCGTAATTTATAATTTTTTTTTTTTGGTACTGGGGATCAAACTCATGACCTTGCACTTGACAGGCAGGCTCAGTGCCACTGAGCTAAATCCCTGGCCCGGTAACTAATTCTATGTGATGGTTATGAGATACATTATATTCTCTGCAATCTAAGTTTAAAATTTCTCATATTATTTGTTAATCAATTCATTCACCTTTAAAAAATAACATAGTGTATACATTTATTTACATAGTTTTGGATCACTGGTTTTCAAATCTGACTAGACATTAGAACTTAAAAAAAAAAAACACCAAACCTTAGGCCCCAGTCTAAATCAATTAAATCAGAATCTCTGGGGCTGAAGCCCAAGGACAAGTGTTTTTAAGAGGTCCTCAAGTGATTTAAAAGTACAGCCAGGGTTAAGAACCACTGTTCACAGTGAAATGACCCACGTTCTCTAAAAAATGTATTAAGACAACAATGTCAAGGAGGAAAATTTTTAATATTTACAGGCACTATATTATTAAGACTTGGAAAACATTAGCATAATTTTCAGAAAAAATAACTTTTCAATTTATTCATGAGGTATGAAATAAACCCTATCAAACATCCCATACCTGTATTATTTTACCAGCTTATACTGGTATACTATTTACAGTTTACAAAATGTTTTATCTAAATTCACTGACTCTCATAACAAACTTGATCAGGTAGGGCATGTGTAACTATTAATCATCTCTTGTAGAAGAAGAAATTGGAACTCAAAGCCATTTAAATGACTTGCCAAAGTCACTGTGCTGGTAAAAGTCTAAGTCAAGACTAAAACCTAGGTTTTTTTCTGACACCTAGTCAAATATTTATCCCAGCAGATTTGGCCCAAAACAAACCTCTGCTCTGGTTCCAGTCATGAGCATCACCAAGTTGATTAACATTATACCTGTACCCATCTTGATGGTGAAAATAGTCATCAGTGCTGAACACAATGCCATCACGACTCTGACCAAGCAGAATTCTGTTAATAAAAGAAACCATACAGATTATCATTTATAAAATCAATAACCACCAAAAAATACACCACATCGAAAAGATTAAATAAAATTTTGGGTACTTATCCTTAAGTACTGTATATTACAAGCAGAATAGCACAGAGGCTGAACAATTTTTAAAAGCTCTCAAGTTTCAAATATCAGTTCATACTCAAAGCTACACAATTACAGCCAGGATTAAAAACTTTTTAAGTGAACATTATTCTTGCAACTTTAAAAAAATACTCTTTATCCAACCTCAAACCAATGTCAACTTATTCATGTTCTAATTTTAGTGTGTCTGTATTTGGTGTTTAAGAAGCCTCAATCTGGTGCAACAGGAAACCTAAAAAGGAACTAAGGTTAAGCAAACAATTCATCTGGGAGAAACCATTATTTGACCCAAGACAATTTGGTAAATTCATTTCAATAAAGCATAAGGATAATATAACCCACGTTAGAGTCAGAAAAAGTCACACAACCTGTGATCTTCTAAAGCATAATCAAACTTTAAACCAGATGTGGTGGCATACTCCTGTAATCCCAGCACTTGGGAAGCTGAGGCAGGAGGATCACCGTGAGTTCAAGGCCAGTCTGAACTACATATCAAGACCCTGTGTCAAAAAACCAAAACCAAAAAAACCCAAAAAACAAAAACCTTTAAATTTTTAGAGATTAAATCACTAAATGAAACTAATTACAAAAAACCAAATCAAAACTAAATTCTCAGAGCAGGTCAACACTAATCAAACTTTGTTTTTAAAATGATACCACCTTAAATTTCAGAGTATAGTGCATTCAGAGCATCAGAGAATTCCCAGAACTGATCACTCAGGAAAGAAAAAAATTGGAAGGGAAAATACAGTAAGATAACAATTCGGATCCAACGAAAACAATTTTACTGTTTTCACTTCTCTCCCTCAACTATTAAGCAATTAATTGGATATGATTCCATAATTGTGAAAGAGTTTGGAGAGTGGATGGTTGTTAGTAGAAGGGACTGAGAGAAAAAAATTGTCCTGGGATAATTCAAGAATACTTACTTCCTACTAAACAGTAATAGTAAGGAATTCAATTACATATTAAGATAACAAACATCATCTCTCCCTCTCCGAGCTCATAATAAAAATATACATTTTTCTAAAAAAAATAAAATCATGTGAGTTCATAATAAAAATATACATTTTTCTAAAATAAAAATCATGTATCAAAAAAATTTAAATACATATTTCCACTTACAGAGTTATAGTTCAAAATACTTCAAACAAACCAAATGAAAGATATTGGTTTGGGTTGTCTGCTTCTTTTGGATTTCAGTTAAGCAGCCATGATTTTTCCCAAAATGTATCTAACATTTTGGACACCATATTAGCTTAAACACATAACATAGAATATAAAAAAAAAGCCATGGTATCAGCATTCTAAACCAGAGGTCAATCACTCAAAAAGAGATTTTGATCATAACTAGCCACATAATACATAATTATATTCAACAGTACCAGAAATCTAAAAAGCATTTTTCCCAGATACCTGATGCTTCCCTCTTTTTTCCTCTGCTGCCTTATTGGCAGGTGAATTTTAAGATAGTAATAATACCATTTTACATGAGTATAGTGTTTATATGCAAGAAAGAGTTTAAATTCTCCAAATTAAAAAATAAAAAAGAGAAGAAAGTAAATCAATTTTTATCATCAAACCAGGTCAACATCAAGCATGAATAAATCTCTCTAAGACCTTTTTCTTTTCTGTGTGGTGCTGGGGACTGAATTCAAGGCCTTCACACTGAGTTACATCCTCACCCTCCCCTTTTTGGAGGTCTCATTAAATTAGAAAATTTCCCAAGCTGAGCTCAAACTTCTCAGCCTCCTGCCTCAGCCTCCCAGACTGCTGGGATTATAAAATGCGTGCTACCTTGTCCGGCTTAAGATCATCTTCTCAAATATGAATGTTTAAATTTTAAGAACTTTATTACAATAAAAAATACACTGTCATGGGCCAGAGATTTAGCTCAGTGGTTCTGCCATCTGCCTCACAAGTATAAGGTCCCGAATTCGATCCCCAGTACCAAAAAAACCCCCCAAAACAAAAAACACTGTCATGCCATTAATCCTCCTCAAAATACTCTTCCTCATTTCAAACACTTATCCAGTTTTTCTTGTCACTTTCTGGAGCAGTTCTGGAAGTTTCTTTTCATGAATGTCACTAGTTGTGCCATAGTGGCTGCCTTGAAGACCTGTATTAGTTCAAAACATTTACCTCTCATGGTCATTTGACTTTGGGGAACAGCTAGAAACCACATGGTACCAGAAATAGTGAATAAAACGGATGAGGTTTTTATAAGCTTGCCTTTCTGAAGGATGATACTCAGCAGCAACATTCACTATATATTTTATCAGAACTCATAAAGACACTCTTGAAACAGGACTTCTAGAACTGCTTCAGAAAGTGGCAAGATGCCCGGCATGGTGACATATGCCTGTAATCCCAGCACAAAGACTCCCCCAAATTCAAGGCCAATCTAGGCTACATAGTGAATTCAAGGCCAGCCTGAACTACATAGCCACATACTCTCTCAAAAAACAAAACAAAAAAACAAAGTGGCAAGAACGATGGGATAAGAGTGTTAAAGCAAAAGGATGTTGGGGATTATTTTGAGGGGAACTAATGGCAATGTGTCTTTTACTGTAATAAATTTGTATTTAAACAATCACTGTATATTCCAATCACTCCTTGAATATAAATTATAACTATAGTAAATAAGTTTAGCTCAGAGATACTTTTCTCACAAAGACTGAATGTTGTCTTTTCCAAGTTCACGGAATTATCTCAAAATATGTAGCTTTATTTTGAGAACTTAAAAAAATACCTAATGAATTTAGGGATATCCGATGACATACCAAGCATCTGAAACAAAATTAAATATTTAAGAAAATTTGTATTTTCAATGGAGGGGAGTACTGGAGATTGAATGCTGGGCTTTGGCACTGAGCTACATCCCTTTTTTCCTCTTCTTTTGAAACAGGGTCTTACTAGGGCTGGGGATTTAGCTCAGTGGCACCACGCCCATCTTGCAAGCAGAGTCCTGCCTGAGTTCGCTCCTCGGTACCAAAAAACAAACAAACCAAGACAGAGTCCTACTAAGGCTGGGCTCAAAGTTTTGATCCTCTTGCCTCAGTGTCTCAGTGCTGGTTTTACAGGCAACGCACCACACCACACCTGCCAAATTATGACAATTTGATATTAAACAAATCTAGGAAAGAAAATAAATTCTAAAGTAAGGCCACCACAGTTACATAAATAACAGTGGAAAAGCAAATATAAAGGATCCTTGCTTCAAGGTAGTCTCAGTCCCGCAGAATCCCCTCCCCTGGAATGATTGGCTAGATTTAGTCACTAGTTTCTAAGGAATAGAATATGGCACGGATGATGAGATGTCACTTCCAAGATTACCAAAAACAAAATCAAAAAACCAAAAAAGCATTATCTATTTCAATCTCATCTTTGTATGCTTTCTTGCACACTTTGAAAGATATGGTACTGTCATATGAATGGAGAGAGGCCCAAGGAAGGCCTCCAGGCTTCAAAAACAATGAATTGAGGCCTTCAAACCAAGATAGCTCACAAAGAATCAGACTGTTTCCAACTCAAGCCCTCTCTGATAACACCTTGATTACAGAATTTTGAGTCCTTGAACCAGAGGAAGGGATTTTAAACATACTTAGATTCCTATAGAAACTGTGGGGAAATAAATATTCGTTGCAGGGTCATGAATAACTAATACACTCTGTACTTATAATTTCTCACCTAAGTAACAGATGGGCCTTGTTCCTAAGAAAAGACGTATGTGAGAGTTCATTTCACTTTTTAAAAATTCCTATGAGCTGCATATTATTTTAATACAACCATGTGCACTTAAAATTGGAAATGATGTCAAAGAAACAGCAACAACTAATACTTTATGAACCCTTTACCTCCTATTTACTGAGTAGCTTTGCATACCCCTAATCCAAGACTATTACATCTAGGCACTTCACTCTCTAAACACTCCTTTAATTAGGAAGAAAGAGAACAAAATGAGGAAAGGTAAATCTTTCCTCTGGTTTTAAACTGAGATCTCCCTCCTCCAAATAAGGAGGGAAAAATCTTCCACATTTCTTAAAACTATGATAAGTATATTATCAGTTCCTATGCCTGCTGTAACAAATTACCACAAACTTGGTGGCTTGACACAAAAACACCTTATTATCTTACAATTCTGAGGGTTAGTAATCCAAAATCATATTCACTGGGCTAAAAATAAGGTGTGTACAAGCCTGGATTCCTTTTGAACTCAAAGAGAATCTGTTTCTTTATTTTTCTAGCTTCTAAAGGCTATATATACACCTAGGTTTGTAGGTCCTGTAGCAGTAAGAACAAAGCCACCAATGCAGCATTTTCTTTCCTGACTTCTGCTTCTGTCTTTACATCTCTTTCTGACTCTGATCTTCCTGCTTTCTGCATATTAAGAACCTTTGTAATTATATTGGGCCTATCCATATAATCACTTCGTGAAAAAATCTTCAAATTAATCACATTTATCTACAAGTCTCTTTTACCTTATAAAGTAACATGTATAGATCTTAGAGATTAGACATGGACATCTTTGGGGAGCCATCATTTATCCTATTTTGCTCAAATTCTCAAATAATGCAACAAAAAACTCCATAGATTCTTTTTCTTTTTAAAAAACTTTTAACTCTTTATCCATCTGGAATTTATTTTTGTGAATCATCTATGGCAGGGTTTTAAATATTTTCTTCTAAACTGATAGTCAAATGTCTAATTACCATTTATTAAACATTTTTTCCTACTGATATAAAATGCTATTCCAATATATACTACATTTACAAAATCCTCTTATATCTAGGCTTATTTCTTGTTTTTCTTGAATTCTCTAATCTTATTTATCTGTTCTGCCAATCAGCCTGAAATAGAAAAGGAGACCCTGCCTCAAAAAAGCAACAACAAAATTTCAAATTCCTGTTCATATTTACATTGTAAACAGAACACTGATGTACTTGAATATATTTGTGCAGTTGTGAAAAACAGCTCATAGAAAGCAAATCAAATTCTTTGTAGGTTTTTTTTTTTTAATTATTTTTGAGACAAGGTCTTGCTATATAGTTTGGGCTGGCCTTGAACTCATGATGTAGCTCAGGCTGGCCTTGAACTTGTAGCGATCCTCCTGTTTCAGCCTCCCAAGTGCTGTATTACAGGTGTGCAGCTTCTTCGCAGTTTATGTAGAATTTATGCCACAAAGAGAAAATTTATTTGGTATGTTTAGGTTAGGAACTGTTTTGCAAATTTATACTTACTTAGGAGAAGATCTAAATCTGAAGAAAAATTTCTTCAGAAAAAAGAAATTAGAGACGGATTTAATGTATGACATAAACATTTCAAGCCAGATTACAAAGTATGATCTTTGAATTTAAATTTTGATCTTTGCAATTTTTATTCTTCCTTAGTGAGGATTCTGTAATGATGAAATTTCAACTCTTTAAAAAGAGCGAGGCTGCTTCACAAACATGGACAGTCTTCAAAATTAGTATATGAATATAAAATAAATATTGAAAATAAATACTGATATTTGGAAACTGCATCAAGGGGTCTGACAGAATCATTTGACTAGAAGTAGGTATAGAAGAAATATAAAAAAGAAATGTCAGGTTTAAGACAACATATTGGAATATGTTGAAACTATAGGTGAATAAAGTAGTGGTAATTCGATAGAATTTCAAGGAGAATTAACTGTACTGGGGATAATAGGATGATTATATGTAATATATGTATTTACTTGAGGAATAGGTATATGACTTAAGAATGGAAGTTTAATTCCAACTATTTCCATTTGTGTTGTGATTCACAATTTTAGAGTACTTTAATATATAAAAATTTTGTGACATGGGTTGTATTTTATACGATCTACAGCTACAAGAAGAAGTTCAGGTTAACTTAGAAGTTACAAAAAAAAGAGATCAAGCTAGGTAAAAATGATGTTTTTAACATGCCTTCATTCAATGATATGAACAGGACACAGTGCTTATTAACATTTTCAAAATTCCTTAAGTTGTAAAAATAATTCCAGAAAAATAAGTATCATTCATTCAACTATCAGGCAGCAAAATATGCCCAAGGTCACAAAGTGAAATAAGTCAAAGCCCAAGCCTTCTAAGACTACACTTGATATTAGCCAAAAGGCCAAGAAGCTATAAGCCTTCTTAAGACTAAATCCAACTTTTCTTAAATAGCTGACCTAAGAGGGAAGGCTAGCAAAGTTCTCAAGCTGCATTTGCTTTCATCACTGTCATAATTAAACATGGTGTATCTATTTTTAAAGCTCGTAACAGAATCTTAAATAGAAACATACATGACAATTCTCCCTCCCCTATCGAAAATCTTTTCAAAATATTTATACTCCCAGGTGCCATTCTCAAATACTGTACAGTATAATAAAATATTTTCTTCTACTAGAAACATGAAAACATGTCATGATTACAAATCATTTATATTTTTAAATAAAAAATTACCAAGCACTCACTTGGTATTCTTTACTTACCTAGACAATGTTGTTTTCCCAGAACCAGGCAGACCTCTTAATAGAATAAGTAATTTCTGCAATTTATTTAACTTTTCTTCTTGAAACTGCTGGTTCACAAACCTGTCCATTCCATTATGCTTGTCCATTGGAGGCTCTTTCCAGCTTCTTTCTCTGATTTCACATAAACCGTTACTCACATATCCATCTTGCACACTATAGCCACTTCTAGGGGGATGAAGACTACTGCTATTCTCACTACAGTCAGTATATTCATTGTTCTGATCAAAAGTCAAACAATTCCAGTTAACATGACAACTATTTACATCATACCCATTTTGAATCTGATAGTCATCTTGAGCATGGAAAATACTTGGTGATGGATTTGGTGGAGCACTAAATCTTTGAATATTTAAATGATAGTTAAAACTGGGAAGAGGAGGACCATGGGGCACTATGAAAGGATGCACTGATTCCCATTCAGGCCTGAAGGAAGTAAATGAAGTATCACAAAATGTAGGTATCACTTGTCCATCATAGGTATATTTGCCTGGCTCATTGCCCAAGTACTGCTGATAACCACAATGTGACTGAAGAGCACTATTAAGATCTTTAGTTGCTTCATCAGATCTTAAGACATCATTATTACAGCCCTCATAATACGGAAGAAGTTGTTCCTGAGATGGTTCAGATTCCTTACAACTGACTTCTGAATTATCTTTTTCATTTTCGAGTTCTTCAATTTCTTTGTAAAACTGTGATAATTCAGTGTCAATCTCTAATTTTTTGGTGTAAAATTTCCGTTTCTTTTCTTGTCTTCCTTTGCCATTTGTATCATTGTGAGTGTCTGTCTCATTCCTTCTTTCATTACATTTCTTTTTTTCTGGGGGTTTGTAAATGGGTCCTATAAATGTTTTACTTGTACTATATATTTCATCATCTGTTGATACTAATGGAGATTTTCCATGCTGTAAAATTTGTGAACCAATAGATTCAATAACATCTAGTCTATTACAAGGCATCTCATTACGCAAAGGTTTCTGCAAATCTGTAGTTTGGGTTTTGTCCTCCTGAAGAAAATCAGCACTGCTACGATGTGGGAAAATATAAGCTTTGGTGGCTGACTTCAATTTTTTATAGCATGGTTCATTTGTTAGTTCTTTTCCAGGTCCCAAGAACTTAGCTTCAATTTCACCATAAGGCATCTAAGGAGTAAATAAATCACACAATAATTAAAGAATATTTAAAAAAATATAAACAAATATTTCCTCATAAAGAATTAGAAAAAGACAATTCAACTGATCAAGTATTCAATAGTAACATCTCTCAAAATACGAGAGTCAAATTGTAATTTTATTACCACTTACTATTTAAGCGTCACAACGATTTATGGGTTGGGTCTCACTAAAGTTAACACCCTTTTAAAAAATAAGTATCTTTAAACAATCTATTTCTGAATTGAGCATTAAGAACGTCAGTTTGGAGAGATGAGTCAATAACCCATATTTTGATGATACAGATACACAATTGTATATAGAAAGAGAATAAAACTGACAAGCAAATTGATTTTTATAGCCAAACTGGTTATCATAAACATTTTCCTGTCTAAAACCACTATTATGTCCTTTGGAGAATATGGTTTTAATTTCCAAATTCAAACAACCACATATTTCTTTGGCATCCAAATGTTAGATTACTGAAATACAGTCTTTGTGGGCCCTTTTCCTTGTGAGAAGTGCAAAAGCAGTTCCCACAAGGATATAATGTGGCAATCTGAAAGAAAAAGAAGTAACTTTGAGTTGCACTGATGACACAAATATGTTATGCTTACAGAAGAGATCTGGCAATTTCCCAAATCAAAACATTTGGCTTTTCCAGCTGACTGGTCTATATCATAAAATAAACTTTGCTTCTCTTCAAATGTGTTAGGAATACTCAAGAGTATAATTTAAAAAGCTTGTTCTGCTGAAAACTATTTCATTCTGTCTGCTCCCTGGTATTCTTCTCCAATACGAAGAAAAAAGAAAGGACAAAAAGATGAACTAGTGATTGATGCGAGTTGGCCAAGAAAGGATAAAGGAAGCTACAACTTTGGAGAACACCATACTCTGGGAAATAGTCTCCCACCTCGGCTACTTTTCAGCTTTCATTTCCTCAGGCAAAATGTTAAAAAAATAAAAATAAAATTTAAAAAATCCCAAGGAAGAGCAAGAGAACTGCATTAACCCAGTGTGGCCTAAACACAACCTAGACCCCTCGCCTAGCCTCCTGACCTCCAAACTGAGCTGCTTGGATAAAAATGCGTCGCCCACTTTCTTTGTCCCAACGGAGACATATTCAGCTCCTATCTAGGAACTCTGAGGTCTCTGAGACTCAGAGGTTAGTTCACTTCTAGCTTCTACAATGAATCTAAGGGTTCGAAGCTAGCTGGCGAGAACCTGAGCCGCCAACGGCCAAAAGGAAGAAACAAAACGTCACCAACCCACCCTCACCTAAAATGGGCCGTCAACTCACCTTCTTCTACAGGCTCTGCATGGACCTTTACCTCACCCCCAAAAAGAAATTCTCCTACAAGACACGAAACTCCGTCAAAATGAAAAAACACTCATACACCATCACAAGGCAGAGAGGGAGAAACCAAAATCCCAGGCGTCAGACTCAGAGGCAAGAGCTGCACCTCCGTACGCAAGATGGCGACCACCTCAGGGTTACCACGGCCGAAATTACGAATTCCCGCCAGGCACTGTGGGAATTGAAGTCCACCGTTCATGCTGGCCCTGTAAACCTCTCAACACGGAGACTCGGTCTCCCAGAATCCATTGCATGCAACACTCGTAGAATGGAACGAGTTCCTAGAACTGGAGCTGGGAAGTTATTTAGAACCCCAACTTTGTTTAAAAAGAAAAAAAAAAGGCAGCGACCTCATCTGGCGTTCACCCCTGAAGGAAAAGAGAAAATGAGTTCCTAGCTCTCTTAAAAAGGTACAGAAACTTCTCGCAGTGTATGAATTTTCCGGCTTTTGAAAAGAACCAGCTAACTTTTCAAAGAGGATTCAACATTTCCTATTGCAAGAGTTGGGTAGCCACCATTTCGAAAAAACCACCAGGCGTAATTTTAGGCTCATAACCTTCTATCGAACGACGGATGTCCTGCAGAGCGGACTCCATAACTATTAGAAATACTTATGGGAAAAATCATTTAGTGTCTTAACTTTTTTGTTCTATTTGGAGAAATAAAAACCAATTACTTTGGGGAAGTTTGTGCTAGGAATAAGTGCTATGTGTTTGTTCAGTAAATAAATACAAACGAATTACTGGCAATCCTAAATTGAGGGCGCCCTTTTCTCTTCCTGCCATCTCCCACTCCCACTAGACTGGCTCCCTCCCCTCCCCATTCTTTTGGATCCCTACAAGGTAAACTACGAATCTCTACCTATGTGAATAATTTTCTTGGGGCACTAACATAATCTTCTAATTTGTAAATGTAATAGTTTAAAGTCATAGTCCCTAGTATTTACACTTACTTCACTAATACCGTTGTGATCACGAGAGCTCATTAGAGCAATTGAGCACCAAAGTTCCTCAAATATAAATTCCCACTGCGACTTTTGTCTATTTGATCATAATTCAAGTTATGCATCCCTCCTTGAAACAACTATGGAAATGAGGTTGTGGCCTTTTCAGGTATTACATCCAGAGTCACAGAATGTCCATTTTAATAAGGTATTAACCCTCCCCCCTTGAACTGGAGATAGAACCCAGGACTTTTGCACAGAGATTTTTTTTCCTCTAGAGACAAGTGGCTTCCTGATGTCTAGGACATAAATAGCTTCCCTCACTTCTCAGCCTAGAAGAAGGAACGGAATATGCAGATGCTGACATCTGGAAGCCTGGAGGCCAATTTCCTTTCCACAAGAAAGAGGACAATAAGCTAAAGATGGCTAAAAGTGATAAGAAAATGTGGATGTATGGCTGGTGTCTAGATGTTCCCCCAAAGCCTCATTCAGATTCATAGGTGGAGCTTTTCAGAAGTGGCTGGATATGTGGGTATGTGATGCTGAGATTAAGGGTGTGTGCTTACTAAATTAGTCCACTGAGATTGGTTTGGCATAGTTCTGGGTGTGGGTAATGGGAAGCTCCACCCTAGATACGAGTGCAGGTACCCTGGATGGAATACAAGGGATAGAAAGAGAGTTGTAGCTATTCCTTACACTGCTGCTTTGCTACTTTGCTGCTTTGCTACTTTACTGCTTTGCTGCTTTGCTGCCTTCCACCCGCCACGAGCTGTTTCTCCTCTGTGATGCCCCTCTGCAATGTCACCCTTGCTTGGAGCCAACCAACTATGAAATGAAACTGCTACAAACTGTAAGCTACAATAAACCCTTCCTCCTTTAACTTTGGGTGTCAGTATTTTGTCTCAGCAATGAGAAAAGTAACTGACAGTGTAGATCTGCATTATCTCTCTTCACTCTCCCTCTCTGCCCTCTGTTCTTTACTATAAAAGACCCTTGCCCACCTATAAATGGTGAGGTGGTGATTTGAGGCAAATAAGCCCCTCCATCTCTTCAGAGAGAGCTTTGAATAAATCCTTTTTACCCAAATGTATGGCCTCCTTTGATTTGGTCAGAGTTGAGTGGATGAACCTAAGTGGCTGTTAACAGTTTTGTTTCAGGATCCTTTTATGGTTTTGATCTAAAATGCCCCCCCAAAAGTCTCACATGTTCAGAGGTGGGGCTTTTGGAAAGGAAGGGACTCATGGGGGCACTACACTGATCAGTGAGTTAATCCATCAGTGAGCTCATAGCTAAATGTTCTGTTAGGAGGTGAGGCCTGGCTAGAAGAGATAGGTCTCGGGTATGACCTGAAAGAATATATTCTTGTCCCCAGCTTTTCCCTTTCTCTCTCTCTGCTTTGCGGCTGCTATGGGTTGAGTAACTCTCCTCACCTGGCCCTTCCATCATGCTTTTTCTTCCTTGGAGCAAGCCGACCATGAACAGAACCCCCTGAAACCATGAGCTAAATAAACCTCTCGTCCTTTAAATTGTGGGTGTCAGGTATTTTGTCCCAGTGTTGTTAAGGTGACTAATACAGAGAGCCTCACCAGAGTATTCCCTTACCTTTAGTTAGGTTGCTTTTGGCTTCTATAGTTTCTTAGACTTTACTTATTGAGACAAGGGAGTGGCAAGACTCAACAATCCAAGCAGGTTTATTAGCAAACCTTAGAAGGACCTCTTTGACCTGGCAAGCAGAAGCAAGAAGGTGCTCTGTTACAGACTCAGAGGGGTTTCAGGGTTGGGAAGGGGTGAAAGTGGCTTCTGACAAGAGACTTCCAGGAGACTTAGCAGGGGATTTTTGATTCCCTTTTTTTGCTAATCTGGCTATTTCACCTGGGAAACCAAATGTTAAATAAATAGACTTAGATCTCCTGAAATGGTGAGCTTTAGTCAAGATACCAGTACTTTTATCCTGTCTTGATCATTGCAGTCTCCAAAGGGGTGTAGGGAAACAGGCCGCCATCTCTGGTCTGGCTGCTTCTTGCTAATCAAGGTGGTGAGGGGTTTCTTGGAGCCAGAGTGACTGGAGCAAAAATGCCATCTTGAGATGTTTTTTGGTAGTTGCCCTGGAGATGGCCACCATGCATTCCTGAAAAAGAATCTTTGTAATAAATTGATTATACAAGGCAGAAATAAGGTGAGGACTACAATAATGAGAGGAGTCACAGGGGCCAGGGATTTAGCTCAGTGGCACAGTGCCTGCCTTGCAAGCCCAAGGTCCTGAGTTCGATCTCCGGTACTAAAATAATAAATAAATAAATAATGAGAGGATTCAGAAGAGAAGTAGCCATAGAGAGAGAGAGAGGGACAGGATGTTTTGTGAGCTGATATCTAAGAGTCTTAAGATTCGGTCTTTTAACCTCTTAGCTCCATTTCTATGTCCAATTTACTAGTGAAGAAGCAAGGGTGCAGATGCCTCTATGTGAGGCCATGAGGAGATCTAGACCTCGGCAAATTTGAAGGACTACAGAGGCTAGGGAATCTCCCTGCTCTTGGAGGTGTCCTAGCTGGTCAGAGACTTCTTTTAGCCACTCTGCTAGCTCCTTTGAGAGACAGGTTAATTCAGACAGGGAGATTCCCAGACCCCCTAGTCTAGTAGCACTTCTGATCAGGACTTCCAGGGTACCTAACAGAGGGGCCAACTGGGTTATACATTGAGCCCTGACATGGGTCATGGGTGAGACAGAAATGGTAGATCAGATGTGGCCATATTGAAGGTGGGAGAAGGGAGACTCAGTGTATAGGTTTCCATTTAGCTTGTGGGGAAACAGACATATGCCTGGTGCCATATATCCAAAAGATGCCAGAAACTAGAGAAAGGTATCTGGAGAAGTCAAACTGAAAAAGGAGATGGGGAGGTGGGTTGGGAAGAAGGTGTTGGATAGCCTCAAGCTTATATGAAAGGAGCTAAAGTTTGTGTCTGTCAAGGGAGAGGTGAAACTAGTTGTAGAACCTTCCTCTCTGAGAGAGGCAAATTTTTGATTTAAAAAGACCTTGGGTATGTCAAAATGTTTGCATTCCTGAGTCCCAGCATGGACTAAAGGAGAGTCTTTAAGGGAATTTTTTCCTCTGTCTTGGTAGTATTTGGATGTGGTAGAGTTTATACTGCCTTGAAAGGAAGTAAATCCAGGTACTTGTATTTGGATTTCTACGTGATTAACATTGCATTGGTCAGAATGTTGGAGGAGTTGGATTGTAACTTGATAGGAGGAAGGAGAGAGGGTACTAGGGAAGCAGAGTTGTTTTGTTGTCTGGTGACACAGAGGGACTTTGTGGGCCAGGGTTAGTACTGATTGTGATGGGTCTGTGATGAACCTTTGTGGGAGCCAGAGGATTTTGAAGATCTGATGGATTCCTCTTAGGTCTCTTGGGACCCTAATATCAGAATCTTCAGCCAGGGTGGTGCCCCTTATGTTAGCTTTTACAGAGGCAAATAGTCCAGCTGGGGTTGAGACCCAGGATCCAAGGTGGGCAGGGAAAACCAAATCAGCTATTTAGGTCAGGTAGAGGCCAATCTGGTGAGGGCATTGAATGGAGCCATTATATTTTGAGTGATTTTGGCAATCTGAGTGAGAGTACAAGAGAAAAAACTATTTGAGTGGGAGTAAAATCAGAAAAGGATCCCTAAAGCCAGAGATCACAGAAAATCTCTAGAAGATTGCTCTGGGAGAAGCAAAGGAGTAGTTTTGTGCCAGAATAATAGAAATGCTTTAAAAGAAGTTGCAGAGAAAAACACTTTTGGTGGGGGGGAGCAGGTGTTCATGACCAAGTTAAAGTGATATCTGTGTTATTCAAGATTAATCTCTTGCTAGCTATCAGTGTCAGTTAAGAGTCCTCAGGCCTTTACTTTTGGAAATGTGCAGAGTTGTTGGAGACCAGAGGAGAATTGAGGCCTGATTGGCCTCTCTGAGTACAAAGGAGAAAGGCTGAACTCAGTGGTGATTGCATATTGCAGGTTCTAGGGAAAACTTAAGACAGCTGAGGTTAAGTTGTTTACCAGAGTATTTACTAATGGATATTGGAAAGCAGATGAATCTTGTGTTACTTTGATTGTTTGCACTCATATTTGGGTGAATGAAGGCAAGATGAGCCAGACCCAGGGGGCTCCTCTGCCTACTAAGAGGCAAGAGCCCCCTGGCTGCCTGCATGTTAAACTGACTCC